ATGACCCAGGATATCACAGCACAAGACCAAGGATACCACAGCAATAAGTCTCACAAGGTCATCACATAACCCATTACCCAAGCCGTTACTACACAGGAGGCTAATGGAAAAGAGATCAAAACACAAACGACCCAGGAGATTACAACGCAGGACCCAGGATACCACAACAAAAGAACTCGCAAGCCCATCACACAACCCATTACCCAAGCCGTTAAAACACGAGAGGCTAATGGAAAAAAGATCACTACAAAACAAACGACCCAGGAGATTACAGCACAAGATCCAGGATATCTCCACAACAAAACTCACAAGGCCATCACACAGCCCATTATACCAACATCAACTCCATCAACCAATCAAGAGGCAGCAGCGCAGCCAACCAGCCCAGCACACCAGCCCCCACCACCAGTATTTATAGAGACGGCAGCTCCGATCACACACTGCTTGCACTGGCACGAAGCCGAAAACACCAGCCTGAGGATGGCGAGTGGGACCTTGGCGAAACGTCGCCAAGATACTCTTAATCTTACACAGGAAAAGACCCGAACACACCTAGACCTACATACCTGTACCCGTGAAAATCTACAAATAACTTTTTTGGGAATTAAAAATGGAACTAAGAAATATGAAAGAAATGCTACATGAAAGAGGCAAGTCATTTGGTTCTGCCTTACAATTTTTAGAAATGACGATTTTAGAGTATGAATAACAACAAGGAGTGCCAGGAGGAGGAGCTGACTAAAGAAGAGGCCATCATAGTTCTTTTCCTCCTCCCTTCTACTCCTCCCTCTTCCCCTCCCTTCCGAGCACTGATGCTGTCACCTAGCTGGGTCCTGAGACGTCCACAGGGAATCCCCCCCCCCACCTGCTCAGGGCGACCCAGAGGACCCCCCATCTTCGTCAGTCCCCCTGCCCCACAGCCAAGCCAAGCTAACCCTTCCATCTCTTGGCCTATCATCCCCCCTCCCCCAAACCAGCCCCCCATCTCTTGGCCCATCATCCACTCGTCCCTCTGCCCCACAGCCAAGCCAACAAGCCCCTCCCCTCAGGATCTCTTGGCCCATCATCCCCTCCCACTCTGCCCCACAGCCAAGCCAACAAGGCCCCACTCCTCCCCTCAGGATCTCTTGGTCCATCATCCACCCCCACCCCCGGGGCCGACCTTGGGCGTCTCCCCCTGGCCGCCTGGCGGGAAGCGGAGAATCCAGAAGTTGCGGTTCCGCAGCAGGTTCTCCAGGTTCTCCAGCCGCCGTTGGAGCCGCCCGTATTCCTCCACCAGGCCGCTCAGGGTGGCCCATTTGCCTTCCAGCTGGCTGCCCAGCTCGGTCACCGTCCTCTGGCAACCGCCCAGCTTCTTCTCGGCCGAAGCCAAGCGGCCTTCCAGGCCCAACAGCCGAAGCCCGGGCCCGTCCGACGGCTCCGGGCCTCGCAAAGCCGCCCCGACCGGCCACAACGGCACCTCCATTTTCCTGAGGTAAAAAAGAAAGGGGGAAAAAAAGTGACCGTCATGCCCCGCGGCGGAGGACCTCCCGACAAGCCCCGCTCCGTCCGCCCCGGAGAGGAGGCGGGGGAGCGAGAGCTGGGGGGAGGGGAGGTCTAGAGCGAGCGCCGTTTGGGCGCCGGGAGAACCCCGGCCACCGGAGGAGCCGCGGGTCGCGGATGGGCGCGGGCGCCCGGTCTCTCCCTTTCCCCGCGCTTTTTTTTTTTTCTTTTTTGGGGCGGGAAAACGCCCGTCTCCGCCTCAGAAGGGAGCGTCACCCGCCCGAAGGCAGCGGTCGCGTCGGGCTATGAGGGGAGATTCCTGAGGGGGTTAGGGTTAGGTGGCTGTGATTTTCTCTCTTTCTGTCTCTTTTCTCTCTCGCGCTTGTTCTCTCTCCCTTTCTTTCCCTCTATCTTTCCCTTTCTCTCCCTCTTTCCCTTTCTCTCCCTCTTTCCTTTTCTTTCCTTCTCTTTCCCTCTTTCTCTTTCCCTTTCTTCCCGTGTTTCTCCCTTTCCCTCTTGCTTCCTCTGTCCTTCTTTCCCTTTCTTTCCTTCTTTCTCCCTTTCTCTTCCCACTTTCATTCCCATCCCTTTCTCACTTCCTTTCTCTATCTTCTCTCCGTTTCCCTCTTTTGCTTTCTCTCCCTTTCCCTTGCTTTCCCTTTCTCCCTTTCTTGCCCACTTTCTCTCCCTCCCTTTCCCTCTTGCTCTCGTTCTTTCTCCCCTTCTCCCTTTCCATTTTTCTCCTTTTCTCTCCCTTTCCCTTTCTCCCACTTTCCATTTGTCTCTCTCCCTTTCCCTCTTGCTTTCTATCGCTCCCTCCCTTTCTCTTACTCTTTCCTTTCTCACTTTCCGCCCTTGTTTCCATCTCTCACTTCCTTTCTCTGCTCTTTCCTTTCTACGTCTCTCCCTTTCCCTCTTGCTATCTCTCCCATTCTTTCTCTTCTCTCCCTTTTTCTTTCCGTTTCTCTCCCTCTTTCCCTTTTGCTTGCTTTATTTCCCTTTCCCTCTTGCTTTCCTTCTTTCTCCCTTTCCCACCTGTTTCCATCCCTTTCTCTCTTGCTCTTTCTTTCCCTCTCTTGGTCTAACTCTCCCTTTTTCTCTCCCTTTCCCTCTTGCTTTCTCTTTCCCTCTTGTTCTATCTCACTGAGCCACGGTGGTGTGGTTAGAGTGCAGTATTGCAGGCTACTTCTGCTGACTGCCGACAATTGGGCAGTTTGAATCTCACCAGCTCAAGGTTGACCCAGCCTTCCATCCTTCCAAGGTGGGTAAAAGGAGGACCCAGATTGTTGGGGGCAACAGACTGACTCTGTAAACCACTTAGAGTGGGCTGTAAAGCACTGTGAAGCGGGATATAAATCTAAGTGCTATTGCTTTCCCTTTCTCCCCTTCTTCTCCCTTTCCATTTCTCTTCCTATTTCTCTCCCTTTCCCTCTCTTGCTTTCTCTTTCCCTTTCTCCCTTTCCCTCTCTTGCTATTTCATTCCCTTTTGCTCTTTCCCTCTCTCATTTTCTTTCTCTTTCCATCTCTCTCCCCAGCCTCTTCTCTGGCTTTTCTGATTGAGTGATGGGCGTCTTGGGCTCACGAGCCTATCATCCGTAGGCAAGGGAGAGGGGGCCCTGACAGGCCATGGAGGGTGAGGAGAGTGGGACTGGGAGGGCCAGGCAAGCTCTCCTCGGGCACCCACCCAGCTTCCATCAAGAAAAAGTGGTGGGGAAGGGTTCCACAATGACCCCATGGCCATCTAAGGTTTGCCTCCCACCTAGGAGGGATTCTCTTCAAAAGTCCCATTTGGGAACATTTGGTGTTCGTTTGTCTCTATCTACCATTTATCTATCATCATATATCTCATCTCTTCTATCAATCCACCAATTCATGTCTATCCTCCTCATCCATCTACGCTATCCATCTTATCCATCCATCCATGTTATCTACCCACTTTATCTGTCTATGCTATCCATCCATCCTATCCATCTATGCCAGGGGTGTCAAATTCGCAACACATGACGTATCGTATCGCAACTTTCCTTTGCTAAAATGGGGTTGGGGGTGGCCAGCACATAATGCATCCGGCCTGCGGGCCACGAGTTTGACACCCCTCATCTATGCTATTCAACCATCCTGTTCATCTACCCATCCATCCTATCCTATCCAATCTTATCCAATTTATTTGCCACACATCTCACGGTCCAGGTGGACAGTGTAAACACCTCCCACTCCTTGGTATTCCTCAACTGCCAGTCACTTGGAGGGAAATGTTTGACCCAGGATGAGCATCACAAAAGTGTTCATATTCAAGGATTTGGACAGAAGACGTTTGAAAGAATTAACCATCGGACAGTTCTGCAGGTGCCATTGCATTTGCTTGATTCATGGTAGCCCTAGGAACGTGAAGTTTTCCAGGATATGTGAAGTCCTTTAAGTTATGACTAATTCATGATGATTTTAAAATGGAACAGTCATGTGATAGGCTTGATTTTACAGTGGTGGTTAAACAACCACCATTCATTATGGGCATGGTTTTGTCAAAAACCAGAAGTAAATTTTTGATGAAAGCAGCATAAAACGTAATCATGTGGCTGCTGCAAATGGCCTTTAGTGTGTTGGAGTCCCATCTGCTTGGGTGCCAATTGTTGGAAGAAATATCCTTCTGGGTTCAGTTCCAAGTGGGGAAAAAGACACTGGAAACATGGAGGCTGTTTGGAAGGTTTAATATCATGGCCTGGAGCTCCAGAGTGAAAAGGAAGAGATCAAGAAAGAGGCTGAAGTGCGGAGAGTGCCTGGGTTTTATACCCTCTGTTGAGATTTGAATTGGAGCTTGTATTCTAATTGGTTGTCAGACCCCCATGGGGCCATGCAGGGGCAACTCTGTTGGCTGTCCTGAGTTCCAGGCTTGGTTGGGCCTTCCTGGATGATTATGCCCTTAAAAGGGCTTTTGGCAATTGCTATAGCTTTACCTGCAGATCTTTGTTATGTAAAGTACAGGTGAAACTCGAAAAATTAGAATATCATGCAGTTCATTTATTTCAGTAATGCAACTTAAGGTGAAACTAATACTGTATATAAGATAGACTCATTACATGCAAAGCAAGATAGTTCAAGCTGTGATGTGTCATAATTGAGATGATTATGGCTTACAGCTCATGAAAACCCCAAATCCACAATCTCAGAAAATTAGAATATTACATGCAATCAATAAAACAAGGATTGTACATAGAACAATATCGGACCTCTGAAAAGTATAAACATGCATATGTACTCAGTACTTGGTTTGGGCCCCTTTTGCAGCAATTACTGCCTCAATGCAGCGTGGCATGGAAGCTATCAGCCTGTGGCACTGCTGAGGTGTTATGGAAGACCAGGATGCTTCAATAGCGGCCTTCAGCTCTTCTGCATTGTTTGGTCTCATGTCTCTCATCTTTCTCTTGGCAATGCCCCATAGATTCTCTATGGGGTTCAGGTCAGTTTGCTGGCCAATCAAGCACAGTAATCCCACGGTCATTGAACCAGGTTTTGGTGCTTTTGGCAGTGTGGGCAGATGTCAAGTCCTGTTGGAAAATGAAGTCAGCATCCCCATAAAGCTCGTCTGTGGAAGGAAGCATGAAGTGCTCCCAAATCTCCTGGTAGATGGCTGCGTTGACCCTGGACTTAATGAAGCACAGTGGACCAACACCAGCAGATGACATGGCTCCCCAAATCAACAGACTGGAAACTTCACACTGGACTTCAAGCATCTTGCAGCGTGTGCCTCTCCATTCTTCCTCCAGACTCTAGGTCCTTGGTTTCCAAATGAAATGCAAAAGTTGCTCTCATCAGAAAAGAGGACTTTGGATCACTGAGCAACGGACCAGTTCTGTTTTTCTTTAGCCAAGGTAAGACGCTTCTGATGTTGTTTGTTGTTCAGGAGCGGCTTGACAAGAGGAATACGACATTTGAAGCCCATGTTCAGGATCCGTCTGTGTGTGGTGGCTCTTGATGCACTGGACTCCAGCCTCAGTCCACTCCTTGTGAACGTCCCCAACACTTTTGAATGGCCTTTTCCTGACAATCCTCTCCAGGCTGCGGTCATCCCTGCTGCTTGTGCACCTTTTTCTTCTCCACTTTTCCCTTCCACATAACTTTTTATTAATGTGCTTTGATACAGCACTTTGGGAACATCCAACTTCTTTTGCAATTACCTTTTGAGGCTTTCTCTCCTTATGGAGGGTGTCAATGATGGTTTTCTGCACAACTGTCAGGTCAGCAGTCTTTCCCATGATTGTGCTTCCTACTGAACCAGACTGAGAGACCATTTAAAGGCTCAGGAACCCTTTGCAGGTGTTATGGCTTAATTAGCTGATTAGAGTGGGACACTTTGAGCCTCGAATATTGAACCTTTTCACATTATTCTAATTTTCTGAGATTGTGGATTTGGGGTTTTCATGAGCTGTAAGCCATAATCATCTCAATTATGACACATCACGGCTTGAACTATCTTGCATTGCATGTAATGAGTCTATCTCACATATTAGTTTCACCTTTTAAGTTGCATTACTGAAATAAATGAACTTTTGCACGATATTCTAATTTTTTGAGTTTCACCTGTATTCTGGCCCAGGCCTTAATGGCCCACCCATTAACAAAGGTGGGGGTGAGTTTCTGCTTCTGAATTTCTACTCTTTTTAGAGGAAATAGTCTGCCTTTTTAATATTTCCTAGGCTATTTCAATTTTCTAGGAGAGGGGTGGGTCTAACTTCCTACAAGTACAATCCAGCTGCCAAGTGCCCTAAGTGTGATGTGATGCAGGTGTTGTGAGACCATCAGAATGAAGTCTGAGTCATGAGTGCCCCCCCAGGTAGGTCCATCAGAACTCTGAATGGTTGCTATGCAACCAGCCATAAGTCAAAGACTATAATAAAGCTCTTTCAAGGCTTCTCCAACCATCTTTGTCAGAGCATATTCATGAAACTGGAATAGAGTTTGGTAACAAGGTCAGCCAATGAATAGGCAT